GTGACCCTGCCTGGGCAGGAGGGATGCACTGGATGATCTCTTCCAGTCCAATATACTTGGATTAGAAGAGAGAATCCCTTCCAATCCCAAATATTCTGGGACTTTACAGCTGGATTTGGAACTTCTCCTAGGGTTGTCGCTGCTGTGGGTAGAGCTGGTGCTGAGCCATGGATGGAGTTGGTGTGGAGCTGTTGGTGGAGTTGGTGCTGAGCTGTTGAGTTTGACTTGGGGCAGTGCTGGCTGAGGATGGGGTGGGTGGCAGGGAAAGTCAGGGATGGGGCACAGAGTGGGTGTGGAACTGGAGTTTGGCCAGCTCTGGTCACTCCTCATCTCTTGAGGAGCCTCTGTCAGAGGATCCCTTCTGACTCATGAGCACACCACACACCTTTGATGCTCTGCCAGCTCTGACCATGAGCTGGATGAGTTCCTCCTCCCCTCCAGCCTTTAACTCTTGTCGTTCCCCTGCCCAGCAGACCCCTGGGTGTATTTCCAAACTTTGCAAAACCCACAGGTGGAGGTTTTGATTTTTACTTAGGATTTTAGTGCCTGCAATTTTCTCGAGCCACACATGGGTGAGCCCAGCTAATGCTCAATTTGCTTTCTGGAGGATGTGGCCTTATCCCCAGCAGAGCAAGAGCCAAGTTCCAGCTCCTTAGGAATTAAATGTAGGTATTCCAGCAGAATATCCAAACTCACTTTGTGCTTCTGAGTTGCCAGCAGACAGCTGCCACAACATCTGCCGGTGGATGTTTGGTGTTAGTCAAAACCAGCATCTTGCTGTTTCTGCCAGAGCTGGTGTTGAGAGCTCGGGGGGATGTGATTACTCCTTGCATCCAGGGTGTTTCACTTAATGGACTTCTTAATATTAAAAATCAATTTGGATTTTTTTTTTATTGTTGTTCTTGTTAGCTGTGCATTATGGCACATTCATAATGCTGTTGGAGTCAATGATGATGTATATGTGTACTTTTTAGCACTGGTTTCAGCTTTATACCCTCAGTAYTTTGTGGTGAAATACTYTGARTGCAGATTAGCAAGAAGGAGGGAGSCAGAGCTGTTAAAAAGGTGCGTGAGCACCTTACTTCATTAGCTCCCTGAAAATAAAGTATCTGCCTTGGAAGGAAGGCAAGAACCTGAACTTGTTTCTTGGAAATCTTGGTTTGGCCCAGAACTCTTCATTTCATTTATGAGAATAAATCCTTTCCATCTACTTGGACTTGTGGGATTCAGGCTAATCCTGTGAKAAAAGTCACATTTGTGGATTTAATCAATAAGATTAGAGCATCACTGGACAGGAGGAACCACAAGCTGGATTTTCTTGTTTAGCTGGGAAGTAACTGTTCAGGTCCAAGAGTTTCTCCAGGCTTCTCCCTCTTAAGGAAATTAATTTTCTGGGAATATTTGGATAACAGGGTAACTAAAATATTGAGAAAGAACTCAGAATTGAGCTTGGTGAGACCAGGAATGACAAAACTTAAGGTGAAGGCAAGAGGATCTCCCCTTGCTTAATGCACACATGAAATAATTGTCTGTAACAGTTCTCAGGTACAACTCCGGACTCAAACACAGCTTTTTTTCCCCCTCTTTGTTTCTCCCTTAGCCTCAGCTGTAGAAATTAGGAACTCCTCTGTGTGAGTGGCAGAGGACTGAGCAATCTATGTAAATACTAAAAATCAGCCACTTTAATTTTAGGGAGAATAGGAGGAAAACTGTCAGGTATCTTTTAATACCAGAGAATGTACAAATGGCTCTGTTTTCACCTCTGCAATTTGTCTGTTTTTGTTGAACAAGCACAGTTATGATTTAGGGATTTTTTTCTTTTTAAGGCAGTGTAAAATAAAGCTGATAATGTGTTACATGTAGTTGGGTTTCTTTTAGGAGTTTGGAATGATTAATGCAGCCTTTAAAGCAAGGTAATACCATGGGGTATTAYTCTGTAACATCTTTATGGTATCTTAAGATATCTCACCTTTTATGCAGTCAAAAAAAAAAAGCTTTTTCGATATAAATTGATGTTACTTTTGTTTGCTTTTGCCTTTTTCCCCCTCTGTGTCACCTCTAATTTTTGCAGTGCTGGCCTCCTCATTTTTCTCATGCAGGCAGATTAACGATTGCAGCTCACAGAGGTGTTTGCTTTGTGTTCTTTAGCACTAAATGGGGTTTTGGTGCAATTACTGTAATGCCCTGTTCATTGTTCCCTCCTTTATCAACTCCAAGAGTTGAAAAATGCCCTTTTCTGTGCCCACTCTTAATCCTTGGCTTTTGGCACTTCAGGACTCTCTTGTGGATGTTGGATTTTTCACATTAAGCAAAACACACTTCAGTTAAAAAAAACAAAAAGTATTTGGAAGTTATGCCTCGGGTTTTTGAGTATTTTAAATGATAGCTCAGGATGCAGTTGATGAGACAAAACGCAAACATACCAGTTTCATGCTTTACTCCTCCAAATTTTATGTTTTCCTTTAATTAAAGCCTTGTCGTTTGCTCCAATCAAACATTTCCTGTCAAAACATCTTTTGATGTCACAAAAATTTCCCGTAAGGAGGAGTTCTGTGCCACCTTCCAGAGGAGTTTGTGGCGCAGTTGGAGCCTTGCTGTGTGATCACAGGGGTGCAATGTGCTTTATAGTTATTTTGGTTGTTTGTTTTGTGATCAGTTGATGCTGATGGAAGCCTGAAATGTGATTTATTTTGTCTCAGAGATACGTTTTTCGCACATATATATATTTTTAAGGATAAATCACCTGTTCCTGGCTCCTCAGAGAGCTGGGGTCAGTGGAGTTGTGGTGGGCAGTGGTCACTGTTTGGTGGTTGGTGTGTCRCTGTTGGCCAGACAGCCGACATAAAAGAATAGATATAAAACACACAAAAAGTGGGTGAAAAAATAGAAAGAAGGATTTTATTGTGGGACAAGCTTCTTTTATCTACTTTAGCAACTAGTGCATACATTTGTGTTAAACATACATTRGTCAGTGAGGCTGTCACTTYCTACTCAACAGCATAGGATTGGTAGGTTTGCAAAAGCTACAATATTAGTAATGTTTATAATTGTAAGCTACCTGYATTATTAGTTTTACATTCTAATYTTCTTTTTCTCAAGMCAGTCAAGGAYRTGGYRTTTTATTCTCATGKAAGCTGTTAACACTCCCTASAGTTGGTGGTCATCTCCTGGCAGAAGGGTTGGGCACTGCCCTTCATCTCCTGTTGTGCCAGACACCACTTCAGGCTCTTGGGTAGAAATTTCAGTGCCTTTTATTCCTAGCTGCCTTTGATCCTGAGTGTGATTCTGCTTAAATGTTGGAGAAACGCTGGGCTGAAGTGTGAATTGAGTACAGGACTGGTTTTTAATCTGTTCTAATGCAAATTTTTCCTGGCTGAGATGTCTGGGATGAGTCAGTGAAGCTGCTTGTCGGGGTCCTGGAGGTGGGAGACTGTCCTTGGATTCATTTCTGGATGTGTGAACATCCCAGGGGCCTCTTGGTTGAGCTGTGAGCATTGAGGGTTCTGAGTAAACACCCAAACGATGGATTTCTTTTTTTTTTTTCTTTAATTATTTTTTGTTTTGCACTCCATCCACGCAAATTTGGAGGAGTTAGGACTGCGTAACTTTATTTTCCCTGCCGTGCACAGAAGCTGAAATGAGAATATTTCTGGGGAGTGTTTCCAAGCAGACCATCCCAAGTGCTGTGTGTTCACCATTGGGATCCTCCCTCTGCTCAGAGCAGTTCAAAACACCCATTTTTGTTATAGTTTGTTTTCTCAGTACCCCTTTCTCCTGCAGAACAGTGTTTATAGCTTTCAAATATTCTCTGCCAGATACCAGGGAGGGAGGATTTATCTGTCATTATTAATGACAAAATTAAGGAAAATTAAAATGTTAAACTAGGGAATGGCTTGGCTTTTTCTGATGTCATTAGAAACACTGCTACTTTCTAAACCCTTCATTTAAATACTGCTGATTTTGGTCTCTGCAGTGCACCTGACCTTTATTCTTTTTACCCTRTACTGCCCTTTTATTCCATTAATAMCCTTCCACCTCACACTGTGTTTTCCAAACCACTTTTCCATGTTTTTTTCCCCCCACTTGTGTGCTCAGATTTATTTATTTACCTCTGAAATCCGTCAAACCAATGGAGTTGTGCAGAGAAAAGGACCCAGACACCCTGTTAAGGATTTATTTATTGGTAATAACATTGCCAGCTGTAATTCCAGGAGTTTTGGGGAGAATGAACAGCAATTCCTGGAGGTTGGCACTGGCTCTGTGCCCCATCCTCGTGCTGGGATTAACATTTCCCACGTGCCCTCTTGGATGTTCCCAGTGTGTGAACTCAGGGCTAAACCCATTAGCGGATTTGGGGTCAAAAAGGTATTTTTTCATGATTTTTCACCACATTTTATAGATGGAATTTGTGGTGTTGATCTCTTGTGTGATTCAGGCTCTTGCCTGCTGCTTTGGACTGGGATAGAACTGGGCAGGTGAAGGAGGTGTTTCCTGGATCCCATCTCCCATTGCTCGATTTATGACTGTGGCTTTAGGAAATGAACTTGGGGGGTTTTTGTGTTACAAGGGGAAATAATAATGGAGGTAAGAACTTGGCTGAATTTTGAGTTGGGTGTGTTTTGGTTTTTGGTTTGTTTTTTGGTGTTTATTGTTCCTTGTTTAATTTTTTGTAGGAGGATTTTTCTGGTTTTTGTTGTATTTTTTTTGGGTATTTTTGGTTTTTTTTTTTGGTCTTTTTGGTTTTGTTTGGGTTTTTTGTGGGGAGGGTTTTTTTGGGGTGCTTTGGGTTTTTTTGGGTTTTTTTTGTTTCTTTTTGAGTGTTTTTGGGGAGGTTTGGGGTTTTTTTTAGGGAAGGGGTTTTTTTTTGTTTTTTGTTTGGTTTTTTCCTGCCATATTAGGATTCCAAATAGCAACAATGACTAATAAAAGTAATTCTGTGCAGGAACAGAATCCTGGAATGCTGTTACCTGCCTGCACTAACAGCATTTTTCCCTTTACAGCTCTCTACAACTACGATGCCAGGGGACCAGATGAGCTTTCCTTGCAGATCGGCGACACTGTGCACATTCTGGAAACATATGAGGGTAAGGTGGCAAAAATGGAATTAAAAAATAAGATTTTTTTTTTGTAATCTTACTCCTTTTCTCTTTGTGACCTTCTGATGCTCTTAAGTGACAAAGWGGAAGCAAATGAAGACAAGTGTGGTTGAGCTGGTGAATAAGCACTGGGTTTTCTGGGGAAGGATGTGCATGCAGCTGGATTTGTATGGATCAGTTGTAGCATCTCTCCTGTGTTAGAGAAAGGAGAGAAGCTTTTTGGGTACCCTTGGGTAATGCAAAAGAACCTGCTGCTAAGGAAAGTTTAATCTGAATTTGAAAGTCACCTGGGTYCTAAATTATTTATGTGTCTCTTCTGAGATGGGTTCCTGTGGTAGTGCTGTGCGCTGATTTYAGGCTTTTCCTGATGCCTCCTTTGATATCAAACTCTAGAAATGTCGCCTGTACCAAAATCTTTCCTCCTTGATCCAGGTTACAAGGGGATTTGAATGCTGAGTTTGATAATCAACAGGGTGTGGAAATTGTCACAGCATTTTTAGCTCTTAATCCAAGCAAAATAAAACTCTTTCATTATAACCTTGAGTTGAAATTTTACAGCATGCTGCAGTTTGAAAACATGTAGGTAACACAGAACTAAACTCTGTGTCTTAAAAATGCTGTAACACACTTGGTTTCGTGGAAACACACTTTAATATTAGATTTAATTTGCTTCTCTAGACATTTTGGTAGATCTGTGTGATGAATGTATTTTAGTCACTGGCTTAATTGTATTTTTTATTATTATATTTATTGAAACAAACAATGCAGTTTCAACAGAGCTGATCATTGCTGTGCAGCGAATTTTTGACTTTTCTCATTATTCCCAGGCTGGCCTTTTCTTGGGGCTCAGTTTGCTGCTGCAATGCCAAGTTTGACTCTGAGCAAAGCTATCTTTCAGCTATCTGACATTGCATGCTTTGATAAAAACCTAATAATGTCAAGATTTTAAATGCAAACAATTCCAATATTGCATGGTTTTGTGATTTTATATAAAAATTGATTAATTTAATGAATGTAGGAGAAATCCTGAGCAGGGAATGGGAAACCCCATTAGATGCTGGAACCCCATTAGATGCTGATGAAATGCCCAACAGCTGAAAACTTGGATTTGTGGAGTTGAAATAGGGTTTGAAATGGAACTAGYCAAACATTTTTGTTAAGTTGATGCTCTTAGGTTGGCTTTGTTTGTGTTGGTGAATCAGTAAYTAAAATTAAATGCACAGCAATTTAACACATTGTGTAAAGCACCATCTCTGTCAGGCACTTCTCTCCATCASCACTCTGAGTTCACAGCTTCCAGGGTGACTTTGCTAATGTTTCATCTGGGATATGAAACCTGTGTGAAAATTGAAATTGGGCTGAAGCCCAATCAGAATCCACCTCCTGGTGCTGTTGAGCTGGGAAGGAGCAGATGGGAGGTGCCATAAATGAGCTCTTTAATGCTTTTCCCCCTTTTCCTTCTAGGCTGGTACAGGGGTTACACACTACGGAAGAAATCCAAGAAGGTGAGTGTTGCCACAGAGGGATGCTTGTTTTTTCTCTTGGAATGAGATGGATTTTGGCATTGGGTGTGAGGGTTTGTGAAGCTCTCTGGTGCAGGTGGAGCTGATCCATGGGTGTGCATTGAGCTCTGCTTGCTGCTGCTCTGTGTTCTCTGGGCAGTGGGAATTCTTCAAGTGATGGGAATTTCTTTTAGCAGAGCCTAAAAGATGAGTTACAGAGCCAGATTTGGTGTCCCCAGGGCAGGCAGATGGACAGATGCAGGAGGGAACCCAGAGGAGGCACTGGGATGATCAGAGCAGCTCTGCTGGGAGGAAAGGTTGGGAGAGGCTGGGATTGTTCAGCCTGGAGAGGAGAAGCTTTGGGGTGACCCCAATGTGACCTGAAGGACCCACAGGAAAGATGGAGAGAAACTTTGGACAAAGGATGGAGAGACAGGACACAGTGAATGGCTCCCAAAGGGCAGGGATGGATGGGATATTGGGCAGGAATTGTTCCCTGTAGGATGGGGAGGAGATGGGATGGAATTCCCAGAGAAGCTGTGGCTGCCCCTGGATTCCTGGCAGTGCCCAAGGCCAGGCTGGACATTGGGGTTTGGAGCAGCCTGGGACAGTGGGAGGTGTCCCTGCCCATGGCACTGGGTGGGTTTAGGATCCCCTGCAATCCTAAATTGCAATTAGGATCCAGGCAATTTTACAATTGTGTAATTCCAGTTTTTGCAGTTTCAGGGTGGATCAGTCCCTGGATAGTCCTGACATGCATAATTTTCTTAGTGCAGTCACTGATGCCCCAAACTTAAAAGTTGAGAACCTGATATTCTCTTTAAGAGTTGAGAACCTGCTGTTCTCCTCAGTCTGTTCAGAGGCTGACCCTGCTGCAGGTCCATGAAATGCTGCATTCCTGGTGAAATGCARTTGCACCCTGGAGAGGGACACAGAGCCTCACCATGGGGTTTTCAGTCCTTTCTTTAGAGCAGAGCAGGCTCCTCCTGCAGTGTGATTTCAGTGTGCACACAAA